GGAATTCCATTTGTTTTCAAAGAATATTATTGGGAATTTAATTCATAATCAGATTAATAATTCTTACAGGATCTTTTCTCCTCCCCATTTCTTTTACTGCCCTGGATCTGCTTTTCACAGTTCTGGCTCTAAAGCTTTTTTCTCAAATCCCAGGTAACAAGGCCACTTCCCCCTAACATTTCTTGTTTCCTTAATAATGTTGATCAACTTAGTATCTGCAAGTCATTCCTTTTTAGAAAGGGACAAAATAAGTGGAGGGAGGAGGGCTGCTGGCATTCACATGTTAATACATTTTTCAGTGTCACACTAAGGAAGTATTTTTGGTTTCACTGATTAAGGAAATCCAGATAAAAATTTTCTTTCTTATTGCCAAATTAGCAAGTATTAGAGTGTTATAGCTTAGTGTTGGTGAGGGTGTATGGTACTTCCAAGTCTCTGCTGAAATTTTTTTTTTTAATTTTTTTAATTTATTTATTTGACAGACAGAGACCACAAGCAGGCAGAGAGGCAGGCAGAGAGAGAGGGGGAAGCAGGCTCCCCGCTGAGCAGAGAGCCCAATGCGGGGCTCGATCCCAGGACCCCGGGACCACGACCCGAGCCGAAGGCAGAAGCTCCAACCCACTGAGCCACCCAGGCGCCCCCTCTGCTGAAATTTTTGAGGGAGAAATTGCACACATCTTTACTTTTTTAAAGATGCCAGATCTTTAATATTGGGGTCTGCTTCTAAGAACTCATCCTAGGCCTTTTGGTTCCACCTGTGTATGAGGTGGCCCATCAAGTATGTGTTTAAAAGTTATTTTCATCTTCTCTGTTAGATTCTCAAAAGTGATTTCCATATCGTGTATCTCAAAACTGTTTTTACAACCTATATTCAAATCATTTGTGATGCTTCTAAAAAGAACAGATTCTCAGTTTGTATCCCAGACCAACTAAATTGGAATGTCTGGGTAGGGCCCAGGAGTCTTTTTAAACAATCTCACCATAATTAGATATAACATTAACTAAATGGTTATAATTTCAGAGCTAAATGGCTATAAAATTCTGAAGAATTTTAGAGTTCTCTCAGACTCTAAAGTTTGTAAACTGCTGCTCTGATCAAGCTCCAGTCCCATCTAGCTCTAATCCTGGAAGGACTTGACCAGAATGCTTGTCCATCCCTAATTCTTTGAGTTTCTATTCTCCTTACCTTGAAATTCCTTTGTATCATTTATCATCCTCCTCTTGGTACTAAGAAAACATGTTAGCCCTTGATCCCTTTTACACGTCTTTCTGGACACTCTGCTCATCCTTCCTTCTCTCTGTCTCTACCACTTTCCCTCCTTTATTTCATACTCTGTTTTTGAGATTATTCTGTTGTTACTAGGATATTTTGGATGTTTGAATTTTTTTTTCCTGCACCTGCTTATGTGAAGGTTTATCTAAGGTATGTGATGTAGAAAGCATCATATTTTAAAAATTCTAGACATATTTATGATTATCATCCTTTTTACCAGGTTTTAAGCTTCTTGAAAGCAGGAATTGGGTCTTATGCATCCCATCCAGCATTGCCAACCTTACATAAAATAGATAATAAATATTTGTTTCATTGAGCTAAATTTTGTTTTTTACTGTTCATGTAACAACACCCTCTTGAAAACTTAGCTTACTGCAAGCTTCAAATCTCTTGAAAGAAATGTTGATAAGCTACTAAGGCATGTTATGATACTTGAAAATTGCATAAAAATATCTCAGTAACTTGATCAAAATAAATTTGCATTAGCAGGATAAATATGGAGAATTCTTAGCTCTTGTTAGACAGTGTCAGTGTTAAATTGGTATATCCTTGAGAAGTCTTTTAAAATATTATTACTTAGTTTCTTTTCCTGCAGATGGAAATAACCTCTAGTAAGTAATGTAATATTTAGTGTTTACAAGAAGCTTTCATTTTAGAGATCTAGAGTAATATGAATAATGTAATAAAAATTTTAGCATAGAAAGAAAACAGCTGTATTTTTAAACATTAAGGAGTGTTTGGCTTTATGATATGGTTTTCTTATAGGACTTATGCTATTATAATAATAAAAAAAACCCCTATTGTTAATACAGTCATATTGGTGCTACTGTACTGTGCTGAAAAGATTCTTGAGGGAAGTTCTTTCATGCTTTTTATTTACTTGTCCTGGGCCTGGCACAGTGGCTTTAGTCCAGTCCACACCAAGTACTGTGCCAAGGAACCTGGGGTTTATGGACCAAGCTCTGTCTTGTTAAATAATTAGACCTGGGCAAGTCAGTTCATCTGCAAAATAAAGGTAATACCTTAGATTGCTTGTCTGTGTAGGGTTCTAGGATAATACTTTAGGTTGCTTATCTTCACAAGGTTCTTAAGAGAATTGGATAAGGAAATGCAGGAAATCCCTTTATAAAGTGAACACTGAAATCGGGATAGTAGGTACTATCCTCTGATTAGTAAAAGTCAGCACAAATAGTCAAGATGGCCTTTTGCAGTGGGATAACACTGAATTTGGAAGAAGCATGTCATGTATAAGAGAAAGGATGTATGTATAGATAATGACTATAGCCCAGGGTAATGTGCCAGGCAAAAAACTTTTACTGATTTTGAAGAAATTCATAGGAAAGAGAGAGATTGCTCTCTTTGGGGGGAAGGAGTCAGATACTTTCGAGGATGTTACTTTCATAGTCTTGTACTGCTAGAAGGGAGAGAAGTCTTGGAAGTGCAGTGCAAGGCTGACATCAAGTTGAAGTACTGTATTAGTGAAGCATATCCTGGAGAGTGTACCCATCACAGCCGAGCTGTCCCGTAAGCTTTGAAGAACACGTACAAGGACGTTAAGCTGGTTGAAGGATAGATTTGAGGAAATACTGAAGGCAGGGTGATCAGTCCCATGGATATTCTATTAATCTGGGGAGAAAATGATCAGGGGTTTAACCAAGGTCTCTTAACCCGGAGTTTACAAATTAGGTGATCTTGGAGAGAATCCAAGAGGCCGTGAACTTGGAGAAAAATTAATTTTTTTCCCAACTAACCTTTTTCTGAAATTTAGCTTATCCTTCAGTTACGAGTATAGGAAACCAACCACAGTAATATTAGAAGTATTTTTAATTTTTGCCAATAGAAATCTCACCTTTTTCTATTGCATTAAAGTTGTTGCATACATCTTGTATTATTGCTTACACCATCTATCATTACTCTGAAATTATAATAGTTATGAGCTCTGCTATGAGGTCTTTATTAATTAATGAATTGCCAAGGAAGCATATAGAGGCTTAATCACATTTTCCCTATTTTGATAAATATTTCAATACAATTGGTTATTTGTAATTCTATCCTTTAAAACTTATTTTTAAACTAAAACATTATTTTGAGTCCAAGCTTCATCAGACTACGAGAGGGGTCTATGGCACAAAAAGGTTAAGAACACTTAGTAAACTGAGGCGGTGTCTCTTCCAGAAGGTACTGGTACTTTGTCATTTTGGCAAGTTTAAGTCACTGTTTTCTAAAATAAAGTGGTCAAGTAAATGATCCATGATACCTCTTCCAACTCCAAAATTCTATTTTTAATTTCTTCCTTCAAGCCAACATCTTCCATAGCCTTCCCCAGCTCACTAAATTATACAGTTGGCTTTTCCCTTCATCAAATCCAACATCTTCTCTAGCTTTGTTTTCTCCATTTCACTAAAAGACATCACTCAGGTTAAAAACACAGAAGTTATCCTTTCTTTTTTCTCACCTATTATACCCAATATACCATCAAGTCTTTTAGTTATACTTCCTAACTTTCTGAATTTTGTACCATTCTATCTCTACCACCTCTCTCTGCTGCATGACTGCAAGACTTATAATCGAGCTCCCTATTTCTATTCTTGACCTGTAACAGTCTGTTGTCTGCATAGCAACTAGAGTGGTCTTTTTAGTCCACAGATGATAGGAATTTGTTAACTGCCTAGAACCCCCTCCAGCAGCTTTCCTTGCACATGGATTGAAATACCTTTGTGAGCTGGCCCCCTGCTCTTCTTCCAGTTTCATCTCATGACACTCTCCTCCTGGCCTGCTAAGCTTCAGCCATGCAGGCCTTTCTTTTTCTGTTCCTACAAACATGCTATCTTTGTCTTAGGCCCTTTTCATCTGCTGTTCCCTGCTCCAGAATGAGTGACTCTTCCCCCAGATTGGTTTCTTAATAGTCTTTAGATTCCAGGGTGCCTTCTTCATTTATCACCCCAATAACCTGGATTATCATTCCAGTTCTCTGGAGTACCACTCACTATTGCTGTTGTTCTTATTTTCTGTATCTTCCTCTACTTAGAATGTAAAGTCTGTTAAAGCAGAAACATGTCTGTTGTTTTTACTATTTTATTCCTAGTAGCTACAATAAATATTTACTGAAAAATTTTGGGCTACATCAAGTCTTTGTGTAGTCCCAAATATTCATTCATTAAGTGCTGTGAAACTATTCAAACTAGTCAAGATTTCAAAACTCAGAAAGCTAGGGACATTTTGAAGAAGGAGAGAAAGTGCCCAAAGCAAGTAAAATGGGGAGTAAGAAAGAGTTAAGAGTTATTGATGATTTGTTGATGTCATCATATAGCAAATAAAAATAACTCCCAAAGATTCCAAGAAAATGAGTCATAAATTACTTTATGCAGGGAGTTGGGTTTGGGGAGGTTGTGACGTTAGCTGTGTAACATCCTTTAGGATTTTGAGTGGGTAACTAGCCATAAAAGCACAGAAGTAATGATTTTGTACATTGGGTGTGATAATTATACTTCTTGTCCATGGGCTGCCCAGCATTTTATGGAGCACACCCCAACCCAAAATCAGCCATAATATAACAATCATTTTATAGTGTCATGGTAGATTGTGGCTTGTAGCAGCTCAAGTGGAACTAACAAGGAAGCAGAATAGTGAAAACAGAGCGCTGTGAGACACAAACATGTGCACACTTGTGGAATTAGATACTTCTTAATCTGTCAGAATGATCTAGATCTCAGAGAGGGGGGCTAGGATGGAGACTCAGGGATCTGCATACACTGAGCAACCACCAGGAAGTTCAGTAGTTAAAGAAGCTGAACTAGGCAGTCAAACAGAAGGTAAGTCAGTTAGCAAGTAGCCAGGAGAATCAGAGGGGGGAAAAAAAAAACAAAAAAGGAAGAAACCAGGTAAATGAAAGAATTGCCCAGGATTCACAGTAAAGAATAAATGTTGAGTCAGTGTCAGCTGCCTTTAGTCAGCTCATCCTACTGAGAGCTAATCTCAGAGTTTCCTAGGCCTGCTGGTGATAATAGAAAGCAGCTGGTGGATGATGCGTGTGAGATTTGGAGGGAGGGAGGGAGGGATCAGAGTGAGGGTGGAGCAGACATATTTCTGGGGTAGAAGCATTTTTTTGGCAGAGAATCAGATGTTGCTAGATCCATCATAGATCATTGAGGTCATTTGGTCCATTGTCTCCCCAAATTTTCACAGAAAAGATCAAATTGTTTTTCTGCTGTGACTCCCATATTACAAAAATGTTTTTCCTTAAAAACTTATTAACAATTTGCTTCCCTGTTTTTAACCAAGGGTTGTAATTAGAACAGCATATGCTACCCATACTGAATTGACATAATTTCAACTAAAGGCAAAAAGCTCCCTACAATTTGTAGCTAACTTGTGGCGAAATGGTCATTTCATATAGAGTTTTCAAATATTAAAAATGATTTTTGACCTTCATATTGAGGGCTTTGGAGCTTGGCTATTGAAATCCTTAATTTATTTCTCAGGTCCTTTGATTTCAAATCTTAAGTCACTTAAAACAGTGCTTTTTTTGCATATGTTACTTTGCTCTGAGACTTAGTTTCTCCATCAGCAAAATGAGAATAACAATAGTATCTACTTCAGGAAGTTATTTTGAGGATCAGTCACTTCAGATAATGCCTTTTTTTTACTGGCATATTGCTTGATACATGGTACATATAACCTCCGTAATTATTAGCTTTTATTCTGGTTTTATGATTGTAATTGCTGTTTAGAGCTATGCAGCTCAGTTTCCTGGAATTGTATTTGTAGGTTTTGAATTAAAAGTTTGATCTTTTTATCCCTAAGAATTGATTGTCTCTCCTTTATCTCTGAGAAAAATGGGGTTGAGCAAAGAATTTATTTTATTGGCAGTAATGGGTGGGTGGAGGGAGAATTGAGCTGGCAGATTTTTAAAGCCTCCTACCTATACAAAAAAACCCAGCTGTTCTTCATTCACTGAGCACAGGGTGAGAGGAAACAGGCTTCAACTTCAATAATAAGTGGATTACTGAGGTGATATAAGGAGCTGCTGGTGATATTTTAGAGGTCACCTTATGTCAAAGTAAGAAGATAGAGGGGTAAAATTTGCAAATTGGCAAAACCTGTAAAAATGTTTCTGACCTTAAGTGTCTTTCATGCATCCCTTTTTATTGCAACGCATTTCATAATTGAAATCACTATGAAGATGATTATACCTAAATGAATAAAGTATACTACCTTGGTACCCATTGGCATGTTATTTTAACATAGGAGGGAAAATATTTCCCTTTGAAGTTATAGTTCAGTCTTATTTACTAATTTTAGAAAAAGATTATTGTGTTGAATTTGCTTGGATTTTAAATACTAAAATGTAGTCTTTCCCTTCTCACTGCCTCTTTCTCTCTTTCCTTTCCCTCCCAGTGCCACCACTAGTTTGTTCTTACGGTGATTTTGCTGGAGATTTCATAAAAGAATCACCTGGCAGAAATAGTGATACTATTCTTTATAAAATAATTTTTTACCTTGAAAAGAATCTTAGGTTTTGTACCTTTTGAAAGTATAGGTCCCTGCTAAGCAGGGAGCCTGTTGTGGGACTCAGCCCCAAGACCCTGAGATCATGACCCAAGCTCAAGGCAGACACCCAGCCAACTGAGGCACCCAGGCACCCCGGATTTGTTTTTAAGAGATTTGATTTTTCCATTTTTTTTCTTAGTGTTTGCATGTGTAACCTTGGAAAGGATATCCTTCAGTGTTTTCTGAATTGCTCTTTTTCCATAATATATTTGCTATAGAGACTGTTCTAAATTCAAGTCTTTTTCAATTAACATGAAGGTCAAAATTGGTATTAGTACATTAGTGTTCAATCAGTCTTGCCTATAGATTTTACACAAGTTTATAAATCCTTTTGTCTGCTGGGGTACCTAGGTGGTACGGTCAGTTGAGCCTGTGACTCTTGGTTTTGGCTCAGATCGTGATCTCAGGGTTGTGGGATTGCGACCACACTCCCATTCCATGAATTGTGCAGAATCAGCTTATGACTCTCTCTCCCTCTCCCCTGCCCCTTTCCCCTGCTGTTTCTGCAGTGTATGCTTGTGGCATTTTTATCTTGGAAACCATTTAACTCTTTCCTGTGTCTCTCTTTCCTCACGATGTGCTTTCTTTCTCTCTCTCTCTTTTTTTTTTTTTTTTTTTTGATTTTAAAGACTTTATCTATTTATTTGACAGAGATCACAAGTAGGAAGAGAGGCAGACGGGGCGGGGAGGGGGACACACCCCCTGCCGAGCAGAGGCTTAACCCACTGAGCCACCCAGGTGCCCCTGTGCTTTCTAATCCCAATATTGATGAAGTACTTTAAAAGTTCATTAAGCATTATAGCTTTATGATTAAGAGTGAGGATTTTAAAGTGAGTGACTCAGTGTGAATTCTGCCTTAACCACTTGTCTCTGTGATCTTCAGGCATGTACTTTTTAGTCTGTGGGTGATAAGGCCTCTCTTAGGGTCTTCTCAGAATTAAATTAGCTGTTGTTTATAATGTGCTTATCATGGGGCCTGATGCAAAATGGTTGCTATTTTTATTAGTGCCAAACTCAGTTAAAACTTTATACCATTACTTGACTGTCTAGTCTCCTTGACTAGTTTCTGAACTTGTTGAGAAAAGGAAGAAGGTATAATTTCTTTGTGTATCTGCCACTCTTCCTGTCCTGGTATTTTACATGTAAAGATATCTTTCCTCAGTTGAACTATTTGTTTCAGCTGTTTGAGACCTGAAGGTTCAGGAGGTAGTAATTTTTATAGTGTTGTTTAGACACAAATTAGAATTTTGCGTGCTAGGGAGCCTTGTGTGTAGGAGTGAGTCGCTCCTCTAGTGGTGTTGAGAACTTTACCTAGAGTATGTGGTGACTTTCTGCTGTCTTTTACCAACAAGTACATAGGCAAAATCAGGTGCAAATTTGGAGATTTGCAAATGTCTGGGAGATAACCTTTCTGTACCTTAAAGCCCACTATACTCAGTACATATTTATTGGCCGATCTCTCTCTGAGGTGAAGACCAATTTTACTGTACCTTTGTACAGGACTGCTCTGAGTGATCGATTGCTTTGATATTTAACAGAAGTTTGGGGGTTACTTTCTCTTTGTTTTCTGAAGGCTTTCGTTTTTTGAATCCATATCATTTGAAGGGTATATTTAGAGTCAGTTTTTAAAAAAGTTTTTCTCCAGGCTATTATCCTGAACTTTTTATAAGGTATGCTACTTCTTTACCAAAGTACTTAGAGCTTTTCAGTAATGTTGCTATTCCAGTGATATTCTCCCAGTTTGCAAAGAAAGCTTGTACAACTTTACAGCAGAAAATGACTTACTTCATTTATAGTGATTTATCTTTTTTAAAGCCATTTATAGACTTTTAAAAATGAGAAGTTTGTTAAGGTATAATTCACATGCCACCTAGTTCGCTCAATTAAAGCATACGATTCTATGGTTTTTGATGTAGTCACAGAGCTATACAGCTGTCATCACAATCAGTTTAAAAACATCCAAATAAAAAAAAATCAAATCATCTGCCAAAGAAACTCCAGACATTTTAGCAGTCACTTCCCATTCATATAATGGAGTTATAGAATATGTAGGTTTTTTTTAAACTGGCTTCTTTCACTTATCAAAGTGTTTTTAAAGTTCAACCATTTGTAGCGTGTATCTGTACTTTATTCCTTTTCATTGCTCAATAAAATTCTGTTGTATAGATATATGCAATCTTTTATTTAATTCATTTATCAGTTGATGGGCATTTGAATTGTTCCCACTTTTGGGTCATTATGAATAATGCTGCTATGAACATACGTCTACAAGTTTTTGTGTGAAATGAATTTTTATTTTTCTTGGGAGATAATTACTTTTATAAAGTAAAATAACCAAGTTCTAAAGGAAAAGAAGTTGTGTACTACTTTTAGAAAAATCTTTTGAAGGTATTTAAAAATTTTGTATCCCTTTTATTTCCATATATTAGGTAGTTTCTGCGAGGTTTGCTGCACTAACAAATAACTTCAAAAATCTCAATAGTTTACAATAGTAAAGGTTTGTGTCTTATGTTACATGTTAGTTGCAGTTGTCTGGGGCTCTGTTCTGCCTCTCTTTATATTCCAGAATTCAGGCTGAAGGAATAGCCTGTATTTGGGATATACTAGTCTGGTGGGAACATGCAGTAAAAGCCTTTGCTCAAAACTAGCATGTGTCACATTTCTGCTCACATTATTTGGCTTAGACAGGTCTTGTGGCAAACTTAACAATCGGCAAGGGAAATACAGTCTCCTATAGGTTAGTTACATGGCATTAGGTGAAGCTGCCTAGCCTTCTTACATGGAAGGAGGCACAGATGGTCGGGAGCAGAAATTCAGATTGTCACACCTCAGAAGAAAATAATGTAACTTATGGAGGAAAGATGAGAAGGATGGAGGTGAAGCTGCTGGAACACCATATCTTTTGAATTTAAGCATTGAGGTCAGGAGATAGCAAACTTTAAGCAATGGTATCTAAAAGTGAGCCATAGACCCATGCAAGAGGATGAGGAGGGGGGTGAGAGATCCTATCATGTGTGTTACATGTGATGCAATTTATGTAAGAGATGGCTTATCAGAGAATAGAAAATACTTACTTCTCTTTCTTCTTAAGACTTCTGGGAGCAGTCTTTTGACTAGTCCTATTCCTTTCTTGACAGCTCATCATATAGAAGTTTATCCTCCACTCCGGGCACTTCTTTGTTACCCTATCACTTAGGAAATTGAACCAGAAAGAAAATTGAACCAAACCTATTTTCATTCTACCTACCCATTTCTTTTGGTA